CTGAGAGGATGGAAAAAATTACCAAGCATAAAGTGAATCCAAATAAGCAGGAGTTTTAGTCCTTTTAGTAGACAAAGAAAAACATTCAAAAATTAAGAGAGATAAACAAAGAAACTACATTATACTCAAAAGAACCATAAACAACCAACCAATATCAGTAATAAATGTATATGCTCCAAATACCTTAGCATCCAAATTCATGAAGGAAACATTAACTGAGCTACAAGAACACAGAGAATAATAGAATAGTGAAGGGAAACTCCAATTTCAGTTTTGGATAAATCCAACAAAAAGGTAAATACAAGAGAAAACATAGAACTAAAAAAAATGCTGGAGAAACTAAAGCTAAAAAACCTGTGGTATCTTCTAAATGGGAATAAGAAAGAATCTATGTATTTCTCATCACCACATGGAACTTTTTTAAACAAAAAATGAACATGTATTAGTGCACAAAAATATTTCAAACAAATGTACAAAGATAGAAATGGTTAATCCTTTATTGACTACAGTGTAATAAAAATATTGGGCTCAGGAACCACAAATAAAAGACAGAGACCCAAATGACCCAATACTCTAGCCACCTAGTGGCTCTATTGAAAAAATATACATAAAAGAAGCAGATAATATTCCTCTCAGATATTAGTCAGAGATATATTTTTGACCAAACAAGATATACAAGCAATCACAAAATATAAATTAGAATAACTTGGATTATATGAAACTAAAAAGTTTCTGCACATCCAAAATTAAGGCAACAAAGACAAGAAGGGAAGCACTCGAATGGGAAAAAAGCTTGGTACTAAATTTCTCTAAGTCTTTGGTATCCAAGATAGAAATAATATATATATAATCTATGTGAATATAACTATCTATATCTAATAGCTATACTCTTATATATAAGTGGTCAAAGGACATGAACAAACAGTTCTCAAATGAAGAATTGCAAACTATTCATAACCACATGAAAGAATGCTCCAAATTAATAATGAGAGAAATGAAAATTAAAACAACCCTAAGGTGTTACCTCATATCCTACAAATTGGCAAAGATGACAAAAAATGGCAATGTTGGGGATCTTGTGGGGAGGTAGATACACAAATATGTTGTTGGTGGAGCCAAGAATTGGTATGTAAATATAGTGATAAAAATATCTATACTTGTTAAACCTGATATTATACTACTGGACCTTATACCCCAAGGAAATCACTGATAAGATAATAATCTCTATATATACCAAAATATTTATGCAACATTTTTCATTATAGCAAAGAATTGGAAACAAAGTTAATTCCCATTGATTGTTGGGATGAAAAACAAATTGTGGTACTTAATATAATAAATGATTACTGTTCTAGAAGAAATAATGTCATGAATATAGAGCTACGTGAAAAGATCTATATGAATAGATGGATATTAAAGTAAGGAAAGCCATGAAAATGATATGCACAATTACCAGAGCATGTAAGTGAAAAGAATAACCATACACATACACAAAAGTGAAAATTGAATGTAACACAATTATCCAGATAAATCATGCCTGTAATGAAGCAATCAATACAGGAAGATACCATAAACCTATCCCTTCACGGAGATGGGAGGTCCACAGTTCTTACATATTGCACGTATTTTCAGTCTTTTTTGATATATTGATTAGTTGGGCTAATTTTTTCTTTTTCTTTTTCTGTTGTTAAAAATACCATTTGTTATATGGGATGGCTCTCTGGAATGGGTAGGGGAAGGATAGTGGAGATAACTATGGCAATTTAAAAAAAAACAGCAGAAAGCATAAATGAAAATTTATTTTAAAAAATTTCTTCCATCCCTCACACTACTGTTCCTCTCCTTATCTCTAGTATCTTTTCAAAAAGAATTCTGAATTTCTGTCTACTTTCTTCCACTTAAAAATGAGATAGTGTCCCTTTTGAATTTTTTTTCATATTTATGCAAATTACTCAAAAGCGTTTTGGTGTGGCAGAGAGAACACTGAACCAAGAGTCAAAAGATTTGTGTTCTCAACCCCGTATTACCATTAACTATCTATATGACCTTGGACAAGTTCTAAAATCTCTTGACAATTCAATTTCCTCATTTTTAAAATGAAAGGGGTTGGACAAGATAATCTTTCAGAATGAATTGAGCTCTAAAATTTGATGATGGGTCTAAGCATTGTAAACACTACCACATCAGTGAACCTGCAGTTAAAAAGTGAGATGTAGTTAAAAAGATGTGTGAATCATAGACATTGGAATTAAACTTCTAAATTCTTAAAATATTCTGGGATCAGAGCAGATAAGATCTAAAACTGGAGAGATACGGTTGTGCATAGTAATACAAATTTTTTGCATTTTCTTGATTATAATATTTCCATAAATAATAAGATATTAAGATTAAATCAAACATTTCCCCAACATCTCTTTTAATAGGTTTTTTTGTTTGTTTTTTTTTAAGACCAAACAAATGCCATCCTTCAAATATCCTAGAAAAGTTGAAGGCATGAGCTCCACCTTTTTACTAATATATGAAATGAGAGTCTTAGCCTGTAGATGGTGCTCTGATACCATTAGAACTATAGGCTGAACTTTTTTTTAGATTCAGTTTTTAGGAAACAACAATATCCTTTTACTTTATTTCATTTTGTGGACCTCTGATTTAGTTTTAAAAAATGAGTTTATGTGTCTCTAATAATATTTTTTAGAAGTTGTATAATTTTCTTTTTTTTTTTTAACAAACTGGTGGTATAAGATTTTTTTTTAACTGAAAGATTTTCACTTTGAAAAAGTTAAGTATCCTGCCTTTTCCTTACATTTTTTTTAGTTATAGTGAAATTTTGTCTATTTTTTCTCTGATTCCTTCCCATGATTTACCTATCATTGAAAACTCCGTGACTATAAAAACAACAATAAAAATGATAACATTTACTTACTGCTTCAAGGTTTGTGGACCACTTTATAAATATTATTGCATTTCATCCTCTCAAACTTTGGAGGCAAGTGCTAGTGTTACTCCACTTTACAGATGAGGAAAAAGAGGCAGACAGAGTTTAAGTGACTTGCCTGTGGTCAGACATCTAGTAAGTGTCTGAGGTTAGTTTGGAACTGAGGTTTTCTTGATTTCAAATCCAGTGCTTAATCCATTGCTTCAATCAACCAAATGCAGTCCAATAGTGATTATCATATATAAAACTACTTCACTGGATTCTAGAAGATGAAGAAATAATGCCACCTCCTCCCCTCCAAATGAGAATTATTTTGATCTTCAGTTTATAATAATAAGGTAAAAAAAATATTTCCTGGAATTAAGCCACTACAGGAACTCTGGTTTAAGTCAGAGCTGTCAGCTGGGAAACAAATTTCCAGACATTAGGAAATTTAATTCATTTAATTTTTCATGTAAATGGATTAGATGATGTGATTAAGAATAGCAGAATATTCCTTTGCTACTCCAGACTATCTTAGAATGAATCAAACAGATATACTAAACTCTGAAAACAAGAATAAGGAGGGAGATTCAGTCATTCTCCCAGTAGGTACCTTTAAACAAGCGCACAAAGGACATTCACAGGAAACCAAAAGTAGGAGTTGATTGATCACAGTTTGCTTAGATGTCCATAGAGTTGTTTAGCTGAACCTAAATCTCTTCCTCCCTTACATGGTGCTTTCATAATGGGAATATTTCATAAACAGAAAGGAGATTATTATAAAATGCCTTTTCCATTTTTTTTCCTTGTAACTTTCTGAGCCACAATGATTGATTTTGAAATATTTTGAGGACAAAAAAAACCCCTACATCCTTTACAAGGTTAGTTGTTCTGATGCAGGGCATTTGGGGAATATTCCTTTCAGAAAAATAGTAGGTGATGAAATGATCATTCTAGGGGTAGAAGGGAATTCGGAGATCATTTCATCCACTGAAAAACTAAGGGATTGGCTTCTAGGAACTTACAGCTAAGCTAGTGGAAGAGAGAGGATTCAGACCCAAGACATCTGATTCCAAATCCATCCCAGGAATCCATGTTACATCCCATTTTCAAAGACAAACTCTCTACTAACATGGCATTTCATGAGTTTCTTTTTTTCTCTCTCTCTCAAAGTTCAATGGTAAAACATTAGAAACTAGAGTTGTACTTAGAGTAATATATGTAATATTGCACTGAGTTAAATTATTCAGAAAATATGGATAAGGTTGGATTTCAATAAGAAATAAAAACCTAACAGATAAAATGAAATACCCCTATAGTATATGGGAGACCTGAGGAAATGTGAAAATAACTTAGTTTAAAGAAATGAAACTTCTGAGGCTTAATGTCCTAAAACAATATTCTGTAGGGACTAATCAATAACCCCTGAATGTCCAAATGACCCTGAATTTGTTCTGAAAGCCTCACCATAGTTCATAAATGTCACTAAATAAGAGAAAGAAATTGTAATAACATAAATGCAATACAAATAATTAAAGTACAAACAATAGTGTTTTGTTGATAGAATAAGAATAAGTAATAACACATAGTTAACATTTCATATATGTGATGCATGTCTTTGCACATGAGACTACACAGACATAGACATACACACAGCTCCCAAATGATTCCATTACTTTGATTCACAGAATGATCTTATTTCCAATTCCTTTGAAATTTTTTCAGGAAAAATGTCTCTTGTGAAACATTGCTTCATGACCAGGAAAACCCACTTAAATAATCATTATCTTATTATATTCACATTCATTTAAAGAAAAAAAATCTATTTCCTATTAAGAATGGGCCTAATGGCTATTTAAATAAGTTGAGTTTTTCCCCTGCACCTTACATCTTGAACTTACTCATCATAAGTTAATATAAATCATTCATAATAAGAACATTGCGTGTTTTTCATGGATTACATAGGATCTTCTACCTCACAAAGCAGGGAAATCATTCATTCATCCGGAGGAGTAACAATTGTGACGTCTATCACAGATAGCTATGTGATTGCTTGGCCCCATGTGTAAGCCCTATAAAAAGGAGGGTGTTTGAAATGCTGGTCAGAGTATAGTGAAGAGACGAGGAGTCAGCTCAGGAGTTAGGAAGAAAAGCATTCCCTTTAGCCAAGCTTAAGATCTACTTCAGTGAACAGGTGAAGTCCTTTGTGGCTTCACAGGAATTCACTGCACAGGAAGATTCTAAACATTCACCAGCATCTTTGAGAGGGGAGCACACCTCATCACAGAGAGGACATTACATGTCAGGGTGAGTAGAAACGCTACTTCTCTTTTTCTTTTCTCTGGAACTTCCCACAGGTTATATAGAATTTTCTCTCTCTAACAAGAAGTTTTCCATGTGTTTTTTTTTCCCTTACATTACTAACAAAGCCAAGTTTCTCAGGTAATACTCTTAAGTGGGAAAGCTTATCTTATATAGGTTGCTTTTATTCACTCTATTGGTTTGTAAATATTTTATTCTGCTTTCTTCTTCATTCAGTTTTAGTTACTATTGCATGATTTCTCCTGATTCAAGACTAATTTCTTTATGTCTTGCAGGTGAACACTCCTTAATCAGTGGTTGTGACAAGATTTTAACTTGTGTCTTGTTCAAGCACTGAAGTTTTTATTATATATTCAGTTGCTTCATTATGACAGAAATTGTCTTTGCTTTTTGCAGTTTTAAATATTTCATTTTGTTAATCCTCCTATAGAAGGAGAATTTAAAATCCTCTGTTTCTCTTTAGAAACTTGCAGAAATATGTTAAGAGAAAGGATATAAATACCCCATTACTTCCTCTATATACCTCTAAAAGAATAACTACTTGAATGATAATATGTTCTTCAATGGAACTTAGCATTATTTTTTTTTTTTACTATTAATAGGGTTTAAGGTGTCTGACTGCAGGACCAAGGGAAGAGAGTTGAGAGTAAATCTATGTTTCAACAACTCAGTCTATGTGCTTCTCCATAACTTTCTCATCTTTACTAGATAATTAAGATAAGAACTGCATGAGAGCTCAATTATTCATTGGTTAGAATAAAATTTCAATTTCACTGCTTACTTATGCCTCTCTTCAAAAAGGGGTTAGTGTCCCTTGGATTCATATGTGCTTCTTTGAAAAACCAGTATATAGTATATAATTGTGTGAAATCCATATGTAGTGTGTTACATACAACTGGAGGCTAATTTATATTCAAAGTGACGGGGGGAAATGGTAGAAATTCTATAGCTTGAATCTGTAACCTTGGTACAGTTTTATCTCTTTGGATGGAATGACAGTCCCCTGTTTTGAACTTGGCAAAAACTTCGTATATTTCTATGTGATGTTCTGGATTGTTTAGCAGATGACATCTGTAGCTTCTGAAGGTGATCTAAAAGTTTCTTTTTCATTTATTTCAGATACACAAAGATGGAAGCCAGAAGTAACTCCCATCTCCTGGTATCACTGATGTTTCTTAGTGTCTTCTGCTCACAAACACTGGCATTACCTCTTGAAACATATTCTGCCATGAGGTAAGGTGTCTTTTAACTTGAGAAGTTGCTATCTCTCTCTCATCTCTGCTGTGAAGTAGGATGAGGGGACATATCTTATTGACCACTTAAACTTAGAGATATTTCAGATGAATCTTTTTTTTTATTTGCTGATCTTCAGTGATTTGATGTTCTTACTCATTTTTCTCTCCAATCAATTCCAGACTACAATCTCAATGATTATAAAGGTGCCTGGAGTTCACTTCTCTAGCACCAGCTAAAGTATTAGGATGTAGGCTGTAGGTAGGCCAGAACACATCTCCATATAATCCCAAAGTAGGCTTTTCTTCTTTTCTTTCATTATTAGGGTATCATTAGTACAAAATATTTGTAACCATCATTAACTTGGTGCACCTTCTCATGTAACTTCAATTATCTGCATGGCATTTTCATTTTAGTTACTTTCTTCTGAAACATATTCGATAAAATTTTCAGGAAATATTATAGATATCAATATTGGGGGTTTTATCCAAAATTTTCACTTGTGGCACTTTGGCCATGATTCTGACATTGTGTATTACAACCAAAACAGATAAGATAATTTTGCATATATAAATAAAATGACTCAAAGCTCTACACAATAGATATCGACAGAATTAATTCAATACAAGGTCTTTTTTAAAAGCAAATCATATATAGTGTAAACCATTTGTAATATGATTTGATTTTTATTCCTAAATATTTACCTATTCCATCCTCTATCATGGATGCCGCATTTCAGAGCTTTAAAAAAAATTCCTATACTAATTGAGAGGAGGTCAATATAAAGTAATTTTGTGCTAAATCTCAAAAATGGAAAGAAAAAAATTCCCAGTCTGAATCTCTCCTAGTTTTGTAGATAAAATCCTTTGCAAGCCCCTAGAACCCTTCATCAGAATTTTACGCAGCTGAGTAAAAATTGCTCTTTTATCAGGAGTACTCAGTCTCCAAGGCAGTCAATCAATATAGCAGGCTCCTGTATGTCTCTGAAAGCTGTCCAGAAAGCAGTCACTTCTGAGGCAGCTCAGTGGCAGCACCACCAGACTATTCTGGAGTGTAAGACACAAAGTTATTATGGCCACCCACCTTCATGGCGCAGGTTGCAGTCCTGACCAATGTTGCTTGCTGAGGAGTACGTTCCCATGTAGGATGCTGCACCATTGCACAATTTAAGAACTTTGAAAAGATTGACACTTTCTGACATTTTCCTTGAGCACTTTGTTTTGAATAGGCTGATGTAATTAAATAGGCTTCTATTATTTGTATGGTCTGATTTTTCAAACCAACTTCCTAATTTCGTTCTTAGAAACACAGTTTTATTTAATAATTTGGGATATAAAATGTTCTTTTTTCATATGCACATCTTCCCCATCTGCCTACTGTATAATGGTCTCTACCTGTAGTAAAAGCACTCCCGTTCACAAATATAGGGGGCAGCTACCTGCCAAATGCAATGATTCCAAGAAACAACACTGGAGCTTATTAATCTTCAGAGGAATGCTAAGAGATGATGTCTCATTTCATGCTATTGGCTCTTTTAAGAATGTGCATAGCCAGTCACAGATATCTAGAATAACAAATGCTGAGCCTACATTTCCTAGGATAACTTAGTAAACTAGCTGTAAGGAGAGCTCCTCTCTAGCTCTTCTAATTTTTATCCTGATTTAAATCCAAGTGAATGGAAGAATAAACTCACAGTTTCTGGCAGAAGACTTTTGTTATACACACACCAAATTCTCACCAATTACTATTACACAGAGGGCAGTTACCATATTCATACAGTTCCTCTTCTGCCTTAGACAAGTCCCAGATGAAATCACTTTGAGGAGTGCAAGTTTTAGAAAATACGATAGCAGAATCTGGCTGCACATTAATCCATTTACAGGTATAGAATGCAACAAGCATCTTGCTGTCTTGTAATCGAGAAATCTAACGATCATTTTATTGACTTAATACATGTAATGGATGTCTGTCTTAAGGAGAAAAAAAGTATAAGTAAAATTTACATATCCAATTTACTCCTCACATTTTTATAGCATCCATAATGCAAATATAAGTCTATATGTATTATGCACATAAATACATCAGTATTATATGTTTTTCTATATATGTATATATCTATGTGTGTGTATGTGTGTGTGTGTGTGTGTGTGTGTGTGTGTGTGTGTGTGTGTGTGTGTGAGATATGTGGGCAGAATGAGATGCAGCAGGGTAAAGTAGAAAGACTGGTGGACTTGAAGCCAGTCGACCTGTATTTACATCTCAGCTTTGACATGGACTGCTAGCTATCTGATCAGGAGCAAGTAACTTAACTTCTGCCTGCCTTTTTCTTATTGGCAAAATAAAGATACTAATACTGACACTATACACATCACTGGATTGTCAGGGGAAAAGGGAGATGGGAGAAGGGCATAAACATTTATACAGTGCTTACCAAATTGCATTCCCCTATAAAGTCCCCAGCACTTTACAAATGTTATCTATTTGATCTTCACAACAACCTTTTGTGAGGTAAGTGCTATTATTATCCTTATTTAAGTTGGGGAAAATGAGGAAAATAGAGATCAAGTGTCTTCCTCAGGGTCACACAGCTAAGTGTCTAATAAATGTCTGAGGCTGGATTTGAACTCAAGTCTTCCTGACTCCAGGCCCAACACACTATCCACTGTGCCACCTGTTGCACTTTGTGAACTTTAAAAATCTGTAAGGTTCCTCCTCATCTACATTTACAAACATAGATTCCTCCTACAACTTTATTCTTCCTGCCTTTTTCTTCCTTCTATATCTTTCCATCTTCCTTTTTTTTGTTCCTGTGTTTGACTGCCTTGTCTGTCTTCCTCGGAACTTCATATTTTTGTCTCTCAAATCAGCCTGAAACAAGGCATTCTCATCTTTTGCATTTCATTCTTTTTTCACACTCTTCCCCACCATTCCCTCTTTTGTTTTTAGTGATAGTCATTCTCAACTCCCCTTTTGTTTTTTCATTTTACCCCATGATAGGAATAGATGCTTCAGACCTTGCTTGGTATTTTTTCAATTTGTATAATCTATATTGCACACATGCATGCACATCGTGGGAAAGTAAATAATTTTCTGTATTTATTATCTGTTCACTGTTAATAGAGAATTAGTTTTAGGATACATTTGTAAGTGTCTTGCTTAGAATGGTTTTTAATATTTCTAGGATGCTTTGTCATATGGTAGTTTATAGCAAGCTCATGGTGTTTTCCATTCCAGTAGGCTTGGCAATGGTATGCTGTTTGATGGCCCTAATGAACCTGATCAAAATCTAGGTTTATTAAATATGGAAAATGATCATCTGGAAAGTTCATTACCTGAAAATTACTTGTCTTTTTTGGATGCTCCCCGAGTGTTGAACAGGTGAGGTCATTTATACTTGTTTTGTTATTTGAGAATTTTAGGCAGAGTTCTGATCCTGGAGTCAGGAAGACCAAAGATCAGATCTGAGCTGATACTCACTAGCTTTGTAAACCTAGGTGGATCACAACTGCTGCTTCAGTTTCCTCTCTGTAAACACATAATGTTGTCATTGTTAAGTTGTTTAGTCAGGTCTGACTCTTTATGACCCCATTTTTATAGGATTTTCTTGGCAAAGATACTAGAGTGGTTTGCCATTTCCATCTCTAGGGGTCTCATTTTACATTGAGGAAATTGAGGCAAATAGGTTAAGTGACTTGGGCCAGAGTCACACAGCTGGTAAGTTCTGATTCTGGGATGGAACTCAGGTCCTCTTGACTCCAGTCAGTACTCTATCCACTGCACCACATGACTCCCAGGCTGGTTGTGAGGACAATATGAGATCATATTTGCAAACTGCTCTGCAAACCATAAAATATCATATAAATGCTAGCTATTGTTATTATCATTATCATCATCATTATTGCATTGAGATACTGTATATTGTACTACTGAAAGCCATTCTTATACCATAACATGGTAGTACTGTGTGTACCATAAAGTTGATCAACATAGTTCACCACAGCTCATTCATATACCATTATTTCTTTATTCCCTACTATTATGGGTTTGCTGTATACATTATAATGAGTTAGGTTGATGAAATCAAAAACATTACGTTGATTCAGATTGAACTTGCTGTCTTGAAAGTTAGTGAGTTCCTTGTCACTAGAATTATTTGTATTTGGATGGTCAATTTTTGAGAATAGGAGAGTAGCAGATTCTTTACTCAAATTGGCCTAGACTTTAATGACTATTCCACTATTCTATGATAGCAAATGTATTTTGTTCCATTCACCTTAACACAAGTTTAAACTGTCAGTCAATTAGAAATAAAGACAATGAATGCAGTTAGGTGTGAGAATCTGCTTAATCGGGTGTGAATCCCTTCAAAAAAGCAGAAAAGTAAGCTATAAATTTGACTATAGGTTATTTTCCAAATTATTTTAAAGCTGTAATTGGATATATTGGAACTTTAACAAGTAGAAGTCACTGTCATAAAATTTAGATAAAGATCATTTTGCATTTAATGTGATAAGATTGAAATAATAATTGTCATTTAAAGCACTAAAATAATTTGTTAAAAATTGATTCCAAATAATTTTCTTCATAGTATTGAAAGGCAACACTTATTTTCTATTATCTTTCAAGCAAATATGAATATTTAACCTTTAAATGACCTTTCCCCCCATTTTAGAAATAGGAGACATGTTAAGGGGATGTACACCAGTGATGTTAGCAAATACTTGGAGGAACTTGCTGCTAGACAATTCATTAAATATCTTATTGAAAAAGGAGATAGGTGAGCTATTTGTTTTTACTAACTGATTTTTAATCTAACAATCATGAGTTTATTTTTCAGTAAACATGATATTTGATTTTTGTGCATCAAATAGAAATTATTTTATTATTTTTGGTCTATTCACACTTATGAATTATTGCATTGTTGGCATATCTGCTAAAACTTTTAAATCTGACATGTTTCCTTTCCCTTACTGTCCTTAGCAAGCTCCGTATGCTAGAAAAGCGTCACTCTGATTCAGTTTCACTGACAGTTACAGCCAATTCCTGAGGAAGGAGGCATTGAAGAAATATTTAGAAAAAATTCTGAATGGAAAGAGAAGGTAAAGGGCAATATGTGTGTGTGTGTGTGTGTGTGTGTGTGTGTGTGTGTGTGTGTGTGTGTGTGTGTAAATGGACTAAGTTAATGCCAAGACTTAGTACTATGTCTACTGGTTCCAATGTAAGGAGTTATCCACAAGACCACCATCTTCTCATGGTGGCTCATTGCTTTCACCTCCAGGGGTCACTCTAACTATTCTCAGGGTACAGCTCACATCTAGGTTTTCCCAAATGTTGGTAAAGGGGGCCCCAACCTTCATTGTCTAAGAGTCTCAAAAAGCATTTTTCCCTGATCTGTCATAGTGAAGAAGATAATCCCAACCTGGAACCTTGAAAGTGATGCTCTAGAAGTAGAGCTGATGCATTGCTTCCTAATGGTAAGTCTAACTAAACATTAATCATTCTGCTGTAGGGACAACTGCCTCACCCTCTAAGTCTACAGCAAGGTTGCACAATGAACAGAGTAGTGGGCCTGGAGGCAGGAACCTGAGTTAAAATCTAGCCTCAGACACTTACTAGGCTGGGTGACCCTCAGCAAATCACTTAACTTTGCTTTAGTTTCCTTGACTAAAATAGGAATATTATTGTCCTCCCAGGGGTGTTGTGAGGATCAGATAAATAATATATATAAAGTACTTAGCATAGGGTCTGGCATGCAGCAGGCATTATACGAATTCCTATTCCCTTTCTCCCCTTCTATATCCAAGAGTCATTTTGCATGAACATGCTCCTTCCTTATGAGAAATATCTCCTCTGAAGAGTGGGGCACTTCATTTTAGTGGACCACTTCAGGCTATATGATTTTGGTTTCTATTGATGTAGAACCCAATCCACTAATCAGCTTAGAATAACTCACTTTGATTTCCTATCATCACTTGTGTCAAGAGTTAAGAGGGAGCAGTTTGATATTCTGAATGGTGCCCTGATTCCATTCATCCCCTTCCCCCCAAATTTTCTTGTGCTGAAATGTGGAACAGAAATTAAATTTTCCTTTGAGAACCAAGTCCTGATTTTTTTTTAAGCCAAGTCTATTCTTATTCTTTCTCTCTGATTAGATATCTTTTTAATATATGCAAATTTTCTCTGAGGCAGAATGCTATTGATTCATTGTATAGAAATGTCCAATATTTAATGCTATACCTGCTAGGCCTCTAATACTTCATTTCCTTGTGTTAGGGTCATATTCTTTGAAAAGTAGATCCCTTTCTGAGCCACTGTGATTACCTACAGTGTGTTGATTAACTTTAAGAGCTTTCTTATTAAAATGAAACTAAAATTTTGAAATAAAATTATGCTGGTTCTTAAAATTATTATTTTTATTTTTCAGAATTCTTGAAAGAAATCCATGATGAACAAATTGACAATTTTTTGAGTTCTACGTAAATCTATCAAAGAAACATCTTCAATATCAAAACCAAAATAAATATATGTTGTAGTGAAAGTTGTGATTGTTTGCTTCTCATGTAATAAAAGTGATGTTTACACTGTAAATATCATTTTAGAGATCTTTGCCTAAATCTTATATTCGAATCAGTAAAACCTTATAGCTTCATATGTTATGTATCCTTTCTTTTAATAAATGCATTGAAAAAAGAAGTGCACACTGGTTTTCAATATTCCTTTTTTCCTGGCTTTTTAGAAGTATGGTAAGAGAAAAAAAATCATAAGAAACTGTGCTATGAGGTTCTGCTTACTATCCATAATTTGTAAACATAAGTAAGAAAAGTAATGTATGCCCTCATGTTCATGGAACCTAGCATCTTTTTGTTTTTTGGATTTTTTTTTTACTCCAGCTCTTAAAGAGAGCCTTCATTAGAGCATCATTAGAAACTATCCACATTTAGCTTTACAATTTCCAAAGCATGCATATGCATTGGAATAGATTCACTTTTGATTTAGGGACTTGATTCTGTGGATGTTGTTCTGGTGCATGTAACTCTCATTGGATTCTGGGTTTGGGGAGGTATGCAATGACTTTGGGATAGACAGGCTTATTGTTCTAAAGGAGCAAAGCTTTTCTCCATTGACTCTCATTATAAATCTCCAGTGACATTAACAGTCTCATAGAGAAGGTGGATCCAGAGACACAATTTTTTTTCCCGCAAATGAATGTAACTAATGAAATGTAGACAATAAAGACATTTGAGTTTCAATGTCAATATTTTTACGTGTTTGATTCAGTGAATCAATTAGGGCTTCATAGCCATCTATGAAAAGGACATTCAGAAAAATGTAGATACTTAGAGAACTGACTAAAAAGTAATGACTTATAGATTGGCATTTACATGAAAAAAGCAGATTCAAACATAAGTCTATGTTTTGGGTTAATTCAAGTGTTGCCACCATAACCAATATACATGGATTCAAAAGTAGACACTAAGTCACAAATACCAGATTGCACCACTGAAGGGGTGTTTCATCAGCATTGGTGAACTGGACACACTATATCCTTTGCTTGCATTGTATCTGACTATGGGTACCCTATGAATATTCTCTATTGAGAATCAGTTATGTATAATACATTATGTTAGGGATACAAAAAGAAAAGGATGAGACACTATTCATGCCTTCAAATAACATCCTTGTTCTGGATCTAAGAAATATGTACATATAATGATAATGATACCATAAAGTTACTAAAACCTACCAGAGGCAACAGGTGAGGAGGGAGAGGTCACTATTGGATAAGTGGTCAAGGGAGAGTTTGCAGAAAAAAATTAACATTTGAATTAGACTTTGAAATTATAGGTACAATAGTTTCATAGGTAGAGAGGAGGCGGAGGTGGGGAAACTGAATAACAAAGGGCAGGAATCACAGGGGATACCTGAAGTATGTGTGCTGGATGAGCTGGACCAATTTGACAGAAACAGAATGTGTCCATCTAGAATACTAGATAGGTCTGAAAAAGTAGGTTGGGACATGATTGTACAAGGTGTGAGTAAGGAGTTTGGACTTAAGTCTGTAGACAGGATGTGAAGAAGCCACTTGAGGTCTTTTGAGCAATGAAACTGGTGTTCTAGGAACATAATCTAGGAGGAATTAATAATCAGAAAGGGGAAATGATTGAGACTAATAAGGATGCTATTCCAGTAGTGTAAATGTGAACCTGGATTTCTGTGGTGACAACTGAATGGAAAGAAAGAGTGATAGATTTGAAAGGTATGAAAAGAAAGAGTGGCACTTGGCAACTGATTGGATATTGGGGGTCATAGAAACACAATTATAAATATATTCTTAAGAAGTAGGAAATACTTCTATTCCTTCTTTTCTTTTCTTCTTTTACTCTTTCTAATATACAGTACTACATGATTGGGAAAACATCATGCTTTATGCAAGGGAAGCCAAGGATCTGGCCCATTGTGGGACTAGGATAAAGTTGACCATGGCACAGAACAGACAGTCAATGATCTTATAAAAAGACTCTCCTTGAAAGATTCAATGCCAAAAACAATCATCAGATTGAAAAAAAAATGTAGTGATTTCTAAAATATGTTGTCTCCAAATGAGTTCTATGTTCAATGAACCCTTTGATTCAATTTTCACATTTAAACTTTCCCTAAAATTGAAGCCACAGATGCTGTTGATGGCTCAGTGTATAAAGCACTGGGAACTGGAGTCAATCAGGAAGACCTGAGTTCAAATTCAGCCTCAGAGCCTTTTTTAGCTGTGCAATCCTAGGCTAGTCACTTAACCTCTATTTGACTGATAAAAAAGATCCACTGAATCCACTGGGGAAGAAAATGGCTAATCACTCCAGCACCTTTGTTAACAAAACTCAATGGACAGCTATGTTCCATGAGGTCATGAAGTCAGACATAACTGTGCAACAACAAAAATTGAAGCCTAATGCCTTTTGTCTGATCTGCTCTGGAGATGTGAATCACAGTATATTCTGTCCAGTGAATATTATATGCTTAATTAAAGCTCTTATTTATAAGACACTTTAAGGTTTGCATAGAATATTGTATATATGCTCTCTTTTGAGACTCAAAAAGACATCTCAAGTATACACTACAGGTATTTGTCTCCCCATTTTATAGATGGGGAATCAGAGGTTCAGAGAAATTAAGCAATTTGCCCTTCTTTATACAGTTAGGTGTAACCCAGGTCTTCCTGACCAATGTGCTATCACCTATGTTATGCTACCTCTATAATTATAGCTACTAAATTGTATAAAATTGACTTTTGGAGATTTAAAAGGACCTCAGAAATTTCCTAAACCAAATTCCTTTATTTTATAGATGAATATGAAACTCAGAGTGGTGAAATAATTTGCCCAAAGTTACACAGATAGTAAGTAGAAGAGGGAGGATGATGTATTGGTGGATTTATAATATGAAATTCTCTGTTCAAATGTCAGCTAAGATATTCACTACTTGAGTGATCTTGGACAAGTCCCTTTTCCTCTCAGTAACATGAGAAAGTACAGGACCTAGCTAAGGCTTGGGTATGTGTGAGCCCAGGGTCTAGATGGCAGAAAGGGCAAAATTCAGAGCTCATACTCAATGACACTGTTCATGCCTTATAAAGTTTAGGAATAAGTGTTAGACTAAATTAGAGTTTATCATGGAGTTAATTTTTAAGAAAAAATCAAGTAAAAACCCTAAAAATTCTTTCCATTTCATAAGATATGGATTTGAGTACAGCCATGCTAGAGGAATGTCTTGGCTGAACACAATATTGAGAACAGCACTATCAACCTCAGATAATCTCTTTATCTCTTTCCCTCAGAATAGCACTGTACTTCCTGCTCACAGCAAAGATAAGAATACAGTATTAAAGCTTGTTCTGAATATATCTATAGTCACCCAGAAACACTGGGGCCAAACTTAGAAAGGAACTTCCTAAAATACAAATAAAAGTAATTGAAGAAGTGGATTCAGGGAAGTCTTAGAGGGCACAGAATTTATATTCTTCATTATTTTCTCCCCTTCTCCTCCCATGGATTAGACTCTGAAACCCAAATCACTCTGGCTCTCATTGACTGGCCAACAATAGTTCCAAGCTTCCCTTGGTCACTGTCTGTGTCCTGAAGGCTCAGAGTAATCGTAAATAGTAATTGTTTCTGTTTTGACTAGAAACACCAAGGGTCTTCCCCTCCTAGATTGATTCTTTTTTTTTTTTTAACTCGGTAAAAGAGGCCAGTCTTTGCCTCATTTTTTACCTATCTTTAACCACTGGGTAGGTGTTGCCTCAGTCAAACTGAGACCTGGGAAAGACTTTACTTTAAAAAGGCCACTGTATCTGGGGCAATCTCCTGTTCTCCTGATCTATATCTTGCCACTGGACCCAGCTGGCTCCAGAGGAGAAAGTGAGGCAGGTGATTTTGCATAGCCTTCCCTCACTTAAATCCAATTCACTTGTAAGTCATGGCATCACCTTCCTGATGTCACAGTCCTCTTTTAAGAACAAAGGACAAACAACAACAAGACTTTCCACAGATCAATGTATGGCAAGGCAGTTTCTGTAAGGTACTTCTCCATTCTTTTCTCTTCCCTCCCAGTCCCTAACAATAACACTAACAACAAAAATCCCCAAGCAATATTTCCTTCTTCCTAAAGAAAGTGTGAAACCACTGGAATGGAAGGGGGTATCCAGGTCCTGATGGGAAGGCTTAGGCCCTCCCAAAGGGAGATAATCTCAGTTGCAGGCTGGAGGTGTGCAGCAGGCCTTTTTTTCAGCCCTGTAGCTGGTGGCGTTGGACACTTTCAAAGTCATGACATTGTGAGACAAGATTGAAGGCACTGTGTTTGGAGGTGATGACTTTTCTGTATGTACTGAAAGAGAAACAATGAAGGCACCTGGGATGAGGGGGGTAGTGCTTATATCTTCCTGCCAGTATCTAATTTACTGACACCTAAAAGGTACAGTGGATAGAGTACAAAGTCTGAAATCAGAAAGATCTGAGTTTAAACCTATCCTTGCACTCTTAGCTAGGTGACCCTGGGCAATTCACTTAACCTTTATTTTCCACAATTTCCTCATTTATAAAATGGGAGTAATAACATTGTTGTGAGGATCAAATGAGATAATAATTACAGAGCACACTTAAGCCCTTAATTCATATTTATACAGATATATCATATAGTAAGTGCCATATAAATGTTAGCTTTTGTTGTTTTGTTATTAATATTAATATAGCTGAAAATTATCCTAAGATGTCTGTTGAGCTCACCTTCATCGTTATTGAGGCTGGCTTTAACGAATTCAGGAAAGTGTCACTCAAAGGGCAAAAGATGCTGTAAAAAGCACTTGCAAGTTTTGCTGTCTTACAAGCACTGTGATCTGAATCAAGTTTGGGGAAGGAGAAAGACTTGATATTGCTCAGAGAAGTGATAAGAGAGAAGGGTGGTTACATTTTTTTTTACAGTTACATATTTGTGGTACAATGACAAAGTCCAAATTTCTCTAAACTATTGCTTCCATCAGTTCCTTATATTATAAAAATAACCCATTACGTTTGCATGCCATAATTTGTTCAGTCATTCTCCAAATTTCTTTGCTGTAATGAAAAGGGCTATCATAAATAGGTTTGTACATGTGGATCCTTTTACTATTTCTTTGATGCCTTTAAGATATAGATTTAGTGTGGATATTGCCAGCCCAAGAAAAAGTATTAAGAGTTTAGTGTTTTCCAAAGACCCCAGTTTCTGGGATAAGAACCCACTATTTGACAAAAACTGCTAGGTAAACTAAAAAACAATATGGCAAAAACTAGCATAGACCAACATCTTCTACCAAAATGGGTACATGATTTAGGCATAAAGAGTGATACCATAAGCAAATAAGAGAGCAAGGAATAATTCACCTGTAAGATCTACAGAGAAAAATTTATGACCAAACAAGAGACAGAGAGCATTACAAAATGTAAAATGGATAATTTTGATATTATGTTAAAAGGTTTTTGCAAAAACTAAATCAATGCAACCAAGATTAGAGGGAAAGGTGAAAGCAATTTTCACAGTATCTCTGACAAAGACCTCCTTTCTTAAAGAGAACTGAATCAAATTTATAAGAATACAAGCCATTTTCCAATTGACAAATGGTCAAAGGATATGAACAGGTAGTTTTCAGGTGAAGAAATTGAAGCTACCTATATTCATATGAAGAAATGAACTAAAT